CCCGCGCGCAGGATAAGTTAGAAACCGTTAGGTGGCTAAAGCTGGGAACCGAGAGTCTTTCACGGTGCATGGGAGACCTCCAGACAACACAACCTCCTCCGGCACATGTGTAGAGATAAGCGTTTCAGCAAAGGCAGAACAGCAGGGATAGGAAGGCAATAGCAACGAACAAGACACAGAATGAACTCCCCAACCCCCATTGCAGCATAGCTGACAGATATTTTCTACAGGTTGCAGTTCACAACAGCCACTGCTTTTGACTGTGCATCAGTATCCCGATCCTAAGCATATTTACTTGTAAATTGAATTATATGTGAGATTGTTGGCCTTTTCTGGCAGATACCGTGCACATTATTTGATGAAGTGTGTGCTCTTTATACCGTCGAGGCTTTTAAAGGAGGGTTTTTTTCTGTCGCAGCATAGCTGACAGATATTTTCTACAGGCTGCAGTTCACAACACCCACTGCTTTTGACTATGCATCAATATCCCAATCATAAGCATATTTACTTGTAAATTGGATTATATGTGAGATGAGTGGCCTTTTCTGGCAGATACCGTGCGCATTATTTGATGAAGTGTGTGCTCTTTATGCCGTCAAAGCTTCTAAAGAAGGGTTTTTTTCTGTCTGTGAAACAGACTGTGTACTGTGGGCTTTGTAGGCCACAAGGGCTGCTGGCCTAAATCACTGGCCTTGTTAAATCACTTTTTTTTTTTTTACAGTATCTCAAGAGCTGGTCTCCTTTGTAGATGTCAAGTATTGTCACGTGTTACAAATGCCTCTTGTTCTTCAAACCCACGAACAGATGCGTCTGGTCTGCTGCAGCGTCCCTCATTTCTCCTGGTTCTTGGTTGTATCGCGACTCGTGGTGAATGAATGCAGTGTCCCTAAGGAGGGGACATTGCTTTTTTCAACCGTGGACCCTAACATCAAAGTGACCTTTCCTCACGGTGTGACTGAGGAGCCTCGGAGAGTGATGCTTCAGGTAGGGGATCCGTCTAGATCGGACCGGGAAAAAAAGTTGCATCCCAGAAACTTAGCATTCCATCAGAGAACTTTCATACGGTCAGCAGCAAACATCGCTTCAGGCCACAAATACTGGGAAGATTTCTTAACCTCGTGCCTGACTCGTATAGTCAGGACGGAGTCAGTGTCTTGCAGTTCTTTTCTTAGCGAAGCTGCAGTGATGGCTCCTGGAGCTGTTCCTACATGTGTTAGCCTTGAGCTTTGTTTTGAAGTCCGGAATAATCGCTGCGCGTGATCATTTTCTGCAGTTCAATACGTGCAGAATTTCACATTGCCGTTTTGTAGTTATATGGTGTCAGTGGCGTTTTGTAGTTATATAGGCCGAGTTCAGACTGGCAGTTTGAAGCGGGAGAGAGTCGTGGCAAAAAAGAGCCAGAACAAACTGTTCCGGGTTTTCCCGTTCACACTGCAGCGACTGATGCGGGAACATACCGGGAGGAGGCGCAAGGGAGCATGCACACTGGGGAATTTCACATTACCCAGTTTCACACGGTTTCAAGCCGGTAATGATCCGTTTTGAAGTGAACCGGTATAGGGCTGCCATTTCACACATGGCTTTCCCATTCCGGTAAAGAGCTGGAACTGAAGCGGTTTGCCATTTCTGACTGCACCGTTTTCCCCCGCTGTTTTTTGCCCGTGTGGGCGATCTCCGGCTTTTTATTTATAACGTTCACTTTAGAGCGCTATAGCGCTATAGCAGTATAACAAAACACTCCATGCATTCCAATGGGATTGATATAATGCTATTCTGTTATAGCGCTATAGCGCTATAAAGCAAACATTTAAAAAAAAAGCCGGAGATCGCCCATGCGGGCAAAAAACGGCGGTAAAAAGCGCATCGGAACCGGGAGAGGAAACTGAGGAGTACTTGGAAGCGGTTGACAGGTAAAACGCTTCAGCCCCGTTTTAGGGAATCTCATTTCCATGAGCTTTGCGCGTCTGAAACGGACCCAAGTGCATCCCTAGAGATCCAACTATGAAGCCTTCTGGCACGGCCACCAGTAACAATTAATGAAGTAAAAGGATTAATAAATCATTTGAGATCTGGCAATGCTCCTGGAAGTGATCTATATCCCCAGAGATGATAAAAGCAAATATCCATGCTTGCTGCACTCTTTACTCATCTCAGCCTGTCGCCCCACACCCCCACAGACTAGGGCCTTGCAATTATTGTTCCAATATATAAGAAAGGAGAAAAGTCAAATACTGCCAGCTATCGACCAATCAGTCTCGTCAGTGTTGTTGTACTGGAAACTCCTTGCCTGGTGAGACAGAGAAAACATATTGAAGGATGAACAGGCAGGCTTCAGAGCTGGCTGTTCTACTACAGACGAGCAGTGTTCCCTCTAAGCTGAGTTAGTGTGAGCTAGCTCACAGTTTTTTAGCCTCCAGCTCACACATTTTTGTCTCAGCTCAGGAAGGATGGCTCCAGAGCAAACTAATTTATGCAGGGGCCAAATCGCTCACTCACAACTTTAATGCCAGCGGCTCACAAAGTAGAATTTTTGCTCACAAGTCTCCACAGCTTAGAGGGAGCATTGCAGACGAGTGCCCCATCTTGCAGAGAAGTATAACTCTGAGCCTAACGGGTCACTTCATGCTGCCTTTGCGGGCTTCAGAGCAGCATTTGACAGTATTCGCAGGAACAGGCTTCGGGCAAAGCTCGAGAACGCCTCAATCGGCTGAAGACTTTACGTACTTATCTGTTCACTGTGTTAAAGAAATGTCCTAAAAGTGAGATGCAGTCCTTAACGCCGCCTCTCCGATAAGATCCCACGTGACAAAGCAGTTAAACAGGGCTGTATCCTGGCCCATTGACTTTTTAACTTCTATATCAACTCCTTGGTGCAATACCTAAGAAATCCAAGCTTCCATTCTCCAAAGCTTCCTGATAAAACGATCCCTGCCTTACTATATGCCGATGAGACTGTTATTCAGGGCTATTTCTGGGCAGGAACGCACAGGAACGGAGTTCCGGCTGGCTTCAGAGTTGGCTACGCCCACTACAGCCAAAACCTCTGCATGCCTGGCTACAGAGGGAAGGCCTGGAGAGCGACACCCCCCGGCTACCCCCCCCATCCAAGGGCAGGCTTGCCTGGGCTCCCTGCATCCGCGGGGCGCCCGGGCAAGCCAAGGGAAGGCTTGGGGTGTGGCCTAATATGCTAATGAGCTGTGCTATCAGGTTGTGGCCTAATATGCTAATGAGCTTCTGCAGTTGGGAGTGGTCTATTATGCTAATGAGTTCCTGCTAGGCTTTTTCTACAAAAAAAAGCCCTGCTGTTATTATTTCCCATTCACAAGTGGGCCTTCGAGCTCTCCATGCCTTCACTGCGTACTGCATACTGTAAAGCTTGTGATGAACTACCAAAAAACAAAACTCTTCGTTTTTGCAAAAAACAAAACAAAACCCATCGAAACCACAGATGGCAAACAGAGGGCCTCAGCACTGAACAAACAAAAACCTTTAAATATCTTGGCATCGTCTTCCAGTCATCGGAACACTGGCGAGCTCAGGCACGGCACGCTACGGAGACTGCCCACAGAGCAACCTCCACCACTGTAAGATTCCACTTCACAGAAGGGGACTCCTTTATCCCTGCAGTGATCAAGGTTTTCCAAGGAAAGGTTGTCACCCAGCTTCAGGGGTCATTTCGTAGAAAAAGAGGTGCAGGAGCTCATTAGCAGAACTTTTTAGCAGAACTTATTTGCATATGCCACACCCCCTGACATCACCGGAAGCGTGTCAGAAGGCAACACCCACCGCTCATGCTCCACTGGACTGTTTTGGATTACTAGCTATGGGGGGGGATGCGCAGATCTGCCCCCACGGAGGAGGGAGAGCTTGTACCTGAATAAACCTTGGCCTTAAAGGTGCCATTGGACTCCTTTGAATTGCTATCGGGGGGGGGGGCTCTCTGCAGCTTACCTGGCTGCTTCTTGCTCCTTGTGGCCTGGGGGCTGCTGGGAGCAGGGGGCGGGGCTTGTTGCATGTACCCACTCCCTGGGCTCTTTACTGCCGGAGCTCCGCTCATGTGCGCTCCTGCAGGAAATGACCCCTGCCCAGCTTTTGTATGGTTTCTAGCTCTATATTTATGAAGAAAAGTGTCTCCTGGAAGCAGTAGAATCTAAGTTCCTACGAACGATCTTTGGAGTCCCACGATGTACTCTGAATGCCCTTCTCCGACTAGAGGCCAGGCTGATCTCCCTTGAGGTGCGTAAGAGGCTGCTCACATACACCTACTGGCTAAAAGTCATCTTCAGTCCAGTGGATCTAGTACCCTTTGTCTTTGCTGACAGCCACCATTCAACCTGGCTTAGGGCAGTTGAGGGGAAACTACAGGAGCATAGCTTTCCCCCTGAAGTTTTACTGCATCTTGGGTATCAAAAAAGCAAAGAAAGAATGCCCCGCATATACCCCCAAGAGTACTTCGGTCGGGGACACAACACCGCCTGGTGATTCCAGGTCCCCGGGAGGCAAAGCTTGCTGTGACCAGGGCCAGATCCTTCTCAGTGGTGGCCCCCACCTGGTGGAACGAGCTCCCGGAGGAGATCAGGGCCCTGCGGGACCTTATGCAGTTCCGCAGGGCCTGCAAGATGGAGCTCTTCCGCCAGGCTTTTATTCACATAGGGCCCGCCGCTGCCACCACTACCCATGGTGGCAATACCATCGGGTTTCAGGATCGCCCTGGGAAGCTCAGCCATATATGATGGGGCATTAACAACGTGGGATTGGTATGAACGATCAACTGGACAGTGGTACCCCAACGGGGCTGATCTGAAGATAACCACTCAAGACCATCTTGACCTGAAGATAACCACTCAAGACCATCTTGTTTAATGAAAGCACTTTATTATGCTATTACTGTTATTATTGTTACAATTATGATTTTACTGTTTTATTGAGTTTTACGGTTGGGCTCGCGCCCCTTGTAAGCCGCCCTGAGCCCACTTGCGGGGAGGGTGGGGTAAAAATGCTTTAAATGAATGAATGAATGAATGAATGAATGAATGAATGAATGAATGAATGAATGAAGTTATTCTGCAGCATGCTAAATGTTTTCAACCAGCAGATTATCTTAGATCCCTTGAGATCTCCAAATATCAGAGGATTTTTACCCTGGCATGCTTTAATGCTCTACCTTCAGCCCTTCTGGAAGGCAGATACCATCGTGTCCTGTTCCCTCAATCGCTTTGTGCATGTTATAGAGGGAAAGTAGAGACTATTTGACATGTTCTGCTGCACTGCCCACTCTATAATGACATCTTTTGCTCCAGTTCTTTCAACTATATTGGAAAGATCGGAACAACTTTATACGTCTCTCTCCTCCTTGACTATGCTAAAGCTTTTGACTGTGTGGATCACAACAAACTATGGCAGGTCCTTAAAGAGATGGGAGTACCAGACCACCTCACATGTCTCTTGAGAAACCTGTATAAGGGCCAAGAAGCGACAGTTAGAACCGGATATGGAACAACTGATTGGTTTAGCATAGGAAAAGGAGTACGACAAGGATGTATATTGTCGCCTTGCTTATTTAATATATATGCAGAGTACATCATGCGAAATGCTGGCCTGGATGAATCACAAGCGGGAATTAAGATTGCTGGGGAAAAGATCAACAACCTCAGATATGCAGATGATACCACTCTAATGGCTGAAAGTGAAGAGGACCTAAAGAGCCTCTTGCTCAGGGTAAAAGAAGAGAGTGCAAAAGTGGGCTTGAAGCTCAATATCAAAAAAACTAAGATCATGGCATCCGGCCCCATCACTCCTTGGCAAATAGAAGGGGAAGTTGTGGAAGTAGTGACAGACTTCACGTTCCTGGGATCCCAGATCACCGCAGACTGTGACAGCAGCCATGAAATTAAAAGACGCCTGCTTCTTGGGAGGAAAGCGATGGCGAACCTCAACAGCATGATAAAAAGTAGAGACATCACCCTGCCAACAAAAGTCCACGT